AAATAATCATGGAAAATAATAAAATATCTCACTCTTTAATTGAAGAATGTACTTTATGTTTATTCAGAAAAAAATTGTCATGTGCAACAAAACATCATAGTAGTTGAGTAACAGATGATTTTTCACCTCTATGCTTTTCTCTGTCTTTGACAATGTACATGCATGTATATCAGTTAGGAATACTCTTGGATGCCTATAAATTATAGATACCTGACTTTAGTGGCCTACTTAAGTAGATTCTCCTTTCTTTTATTAGAAGGCTGAAATGGATGGCTGCCATTCCTGGTTCTTGACAGCTGGAGAGGACAGATTCTTTGAGATTCTTGTGACCTTTTCTTCACATTTGCCACCTGAACCACAAAATGGCTGCTGAAGCTCCAGTGGTCATGCCTGCATTCCAGGCAGAAAGAAAGAAAAAGGGGAATGTGGCCACACAACAGACTATCACTTCAGATTAATTGACCAGAATTGGAACGCGTGTCCTCTGCTCCTCCTCAGCTCCACTTTGAAGTGAAAGTTGCTCAGTTGTGTTCGACTCTTTGCCACCCCATGGATTATAGACTGCCAGGTTCCTCTGTGCATGGAATTCTCTAGGCCAGAATACTGGAGTGGGTAGCCGTTCCCTTCTGTAGGAGATCTTCCCAACCCAGGGATCAAACCCAGGTCTCCTGTATTGTAGGCAGATTCTCATTGCAGGCAGTTTCTTTACTGTCTGAGCTACCAGGGAAGCTCTCAGCATCAATGGATGCTGGCAAACCGAGTGTTTTAGCTTCTCCAACCTCATAACTACAGACAAGAGACAATTGTTCAAGAGTGTCTGGTTAAGCCGACTTCCGGTGTTTGTACTATTTTTCATGTGATATGTATGTCTGTTAGTATGTATTACTTTGATAAAGAGATTAACTTTTAAAGAGTTTACTAAAAATCAAAAGGTCATTTTAAGTGGAGACAAATAATGTAGAATACAGATTGTGATACCTTTCAATGAGTTGTTTTGTTTATAATATTTGTTATATACACAGCATTGTGCAAAATGGTGTGAAGGAAAAGGACACAGTGGGAAATTGAAGACTTATAATCTAGCCTAAGAGATATGTCCTACACTCAGAAAAGAATCTAGGATAGACTATAACAGGAAAAATGCATCAAGCCAATGGTAAAAGCAAGTACCTGAACCTGAATTGTCAGCAAACAAATGTTAGGTATGACCACTGGAGGAGAGATGAACTGAGCTGGGCTTTAAAGCGTGTGAGGATTCAGAAATGTGGGTTTAAAGAAGCAGTCTTCTTTTTAAACTATGACCTGACTTCTGGGGATTAAGCAGGTGTATTTTAATAAATATTTTTATTTATTTGACTTAGCACCAGATCTTAGTTGCAGCAGGCAGGATCTTTGATCTGTATTGAGGCATGTGAACTCTTAGGTGCAGCATGTGAGATCTAGTTCCCCAGCCAGGGATAGAACCAGGGCTCCCTGCATCGGTAGCTCAGAGTCTTAGCCACTGGACCACCAGGGAAATCCCAGGAAGACTTCAAACTTGGCAGCAGCCCTGGGGAAGCCTGGAGATGTCAATGGAAATGCCACGTGTGAGTCTGCATGGGAGTTGGGTGAACTTGAAGAGCAAGGAGTGCTACGAGGGACTTGGAAAAGGTTTTCAAACACATATTAGAATATTTTCATTCCAAGGTGATGGGAAGGCCAGTTTGTGCTCCAGGAAGCCCTGACTGCATTCTGGGACATCTGTCTTGCTGACTCAGCATCTCTACAGGTCTTTTCCTGTTGTTTCCAGGGGCCTGGATGCCAAGAGCTGACTCCTGCCATCAAGCACCTGACTGCACTTTCTGTCTTCTCCCCAGGGATGGCCCAGCTTTGGCCTATGGCTCCTGGCCTCATGCACCTGCTTTGTCAACTTGCCAACTCTGGTTTTCTACCACCCACCAGGAAGACGCCAGGCCAAGACTTTGTGAGGCCGCTTCAAGTGCCAGCATCTGGGGTTTGTGTTTATGCTGTGTCACTGGGATCCTTGACTAGATGCTTGAAGGTGATTTTATGCCCCATTGGAAATAAGAGATGAATGATAAGTGTAGTATTGACCTGAGAAGTATTAGTGGATGTGTGTGCTCAGTTGCTCTGTTGGGTCCAACTCTTTGTGACCCTATGGACTGTAGCCTGCAAGGCTCCTCTGTCCATGGAATTTTCCAGGCAAGAATAATGGAGTGGGTTGCCATTTCCTATTCCAGGGATCTTCCCAACCCAGGGATTGAACCAAGGTCTCCTGCATTTCAGGCATATTCTTTACCAGCTGAGCCGCCAGGGAAGCCCAAGAATACTGGAGTGGGTGGCCCATCCTTTCTCCAGGGGATCTTCCTGACCCAGGAATTGAACTGGGGTCTCAAGCATTGCAGGCGGATTCTTTATCAGCTAAACTACTAGGGAAGCCCTGCCATGAATCAAATATACATTCAAGATGGTCCCTTTCTGTTAATACTTCTTGGACCAATACAGCACCTCAAAGGACTTCCCTGGTGGTCCATTGGCCAAGACTCTGAGCTCCTGCTACAGGGGGTCCAGATTCGATCCCTGGTCAGGGAATAGATCCCACAAGCCGCAACTAAGAGTTCACGTGCTGCAACTAAAAGAACCTGCTTGTCGCAACACAGATGGGAGATTTCTCACGCCACAACTAAGACTGAGTGCAGCCAAATAAATAAATAAATAAATAAATAAATGTAAATACTAAAAAAAAATGCTGCTCAAGTTGCTTCCAACCCGAGGAGGCAGACACATATGTTAACACTGCAACATAGTGAGGTTGCAGAGGGTTAAGTCAGGGAACTGAGAGCTCAGTGATTCAGGAGAGGTTCCATAGAAGAGACGATGTCTGAGCTTAGCCTGTTGTGAGGAGTAAATGTTGAAAAATAGAGCAGTGATCAAATCTAAGAGACAGTTATTACCCAATAAAGCTGCCAGGGACATGGATCATTGACCATTAGCTCCTGGAGATTGGCTCCACTCTGCTTCTGTTTTACTAGTTGCTTCTTTCACACACAGGTGAGCAGGAAGAAAATGAGACATGGAATTCTCAGCTACTAGTAAGTGATGATGTGACCTGGGCATGCGCTCCGTCCGTCTGCATCACAGTTGCCTCTGCTGTGAAATGGGGCGGGGGGTTGGGGGTGGGATGGTTGATGGATGTTGCCATTGAATCTCTTCCTTGGTCGGGAAATCCCCCACCCAAAGACTCTTGGTCAGAATCGAAGTCCACATCTCACTAAAGACAGTAAAAATATACTTGTTTCCTGTCCTCCTCTGCAGCTGGGGTGGAGACCGGTGACCGAGGCTCTCCTGGCTGATGTGCACTGGTCAGAGTCTGATCCAAAAGGATAGAGGACAGAGGAGGATCCTTCTGGCAGCAGTTGCTTCACAAACAGGACTGTCTCACCTGGCAGCAGCGGCCACAGTGAAAGCTGAGAAGTTCTGGGCACAGGGAGCAGTTGAGGTTTTCTCATCTGATCCGGATGCTGGGCTTTGCTCCAGGCCTGGGTCTCCAGCTTTCCCAGTCTCTGTCTTTTTTGTCTTGCTCTTAGTATTTATTTATTAGGCTGTGCCAGGTCTTAGATGCAGCACTCAGGGTCTTTCAGTTGCGTTGTACAGGGTCTTTGGGTCTTCCCAGGTGGTGCTAGAGGTAAAAAAAATTGCCTGCTAGTGCAGGAGACGAGAGAGAATGTGGGTTCAATCCCTCGGTCAGGAAGATCCCCTGGAGGAGGGTATGGCAACCCACTCCAGTATTCTTGCCTGGAAAAATCCCATAGACACAGGAGGTTGGTGGACTATAGTCCATAGGGTTAGTTGTAGCCTGTGGGATCTAGTTCTCTGACCTGGGATTGAACCATGGGCCCCTGCATTGGGAGCTCAGAGTCTTAGCCACTGAACCACCAGGGAAGTTTCTATCCATTTTTTGATAGGTAAGCAGTAGATTTATTACTATCCTTCTCAAAGAGGTAGCAGCAAAATCAGTCAGTTCAGTCACTCAGTCGTGTCTGACTCTTTGTGACCTCACAGACTGTAGCATGCCAGGCTTCCCTGTCCATCACCAGCTCCAGGAACTTGCTCAAACTCATGTCCATCGAGTCGGTGATGCCATCCAACCATCTCATCCTCTGTTGTCCCCTTCTCCTCCTGCCCTCAATCTTTCCCAGCATCAGGGTCTTTTCCAATGAGAAAAGACCTTTTTGCATCAGATGTCCAAAGTATTGGAGCTTCAGCTTCAGCATCAGTCCTTCCAAAGAATATTCAGGACTGATTTCCTTTAGGACTGACTGGTTTGATCTCCTTGCAGCCCAAGTTATTCCCAAAAGTCTTCTCCAACACCACAGTTCAAAAGCATCAATTCTTTGGCGCTCAGCTTTCTTTAGAATCGAACTCTCACATCCATACAGAAGATGTTGAATGTTCCGGGTCTTGAGCAAATTCCTGGGACGAGCCACCAAGTGAAAGATCCTTGGCTTGGAGCAGGAAAAAATTCAAGAGTGAGCCATAGTAAAGTGAAAGCTGGTTTATTGAGAGAGATACACATTCCATAGGCAGAATGCTGTCTGTCTCAAAAAGCGAGCGCAGACCTGGGAGATACACATTACTTAGACAGACTGTCTCCTTATTGTCCTTTTTTCAAAGGATTTTTTTTCTTTTTTTGATATGGACCATTTTTAAAGTCTTTATTGCATGTGTTACAATATTGCTTCTGTTTTATGTTTTGTTTTGTTTTGGCTGAAAGGCATGGAGGACCTTAAATCACCTGGGTTTGGATCAAGTTCTCTCCAAGGTTCCTTCCAGCTCAGTGTTGTGTGATTCTAGAGCTTGCCTTTAGACCGGTAGGTTCAGTGCTGGCCACTTAGTGAATGCTGACTGAACAAGGGACCAAAGGGGCCAGGATCTCAGCCATAGACTTTCCCTTCCGCATGCTTTTCACTATCTTATTCAGTGATCTAAGTGATACCCACATGCAGGTAGCAGAAGTCACATCAGCAGGAAAGAGAAATGCTGATCCACAAAGCCCTTTTGGCAAATCAGTCACCATAGGAACACTGTCTTCTTGCATGGTGCTCATCCCAGGAGGATGCAGAAGAGGTGGGAGACATGTGGTCTGTCCCCAAAGAACTATAATTAGAGAGATGTGTATGTGCTCAGTCAGTCAGTCGTGTCTGACTCTTTGTTACTCTACGGACTGTAGCCCACCAGGCTCCTCTGTCCATGGGATTCTCCAGGCAAGGATCCTGGAGTGGGTTGCCATTCCTTCTCCAGGGTCTCTTCTCTCCTCAGGAATTGAATCCATGTCTCCTGTTTCACAGGTGGATTCTTCACTGCTGACCCACCCGGGAAGCCCATTAAGGAGATGAGACTATAGCACATTTTAAACTTTTGATGCTGAACAACGGGAAAGAAACATAAAGACTCAGAGTAGAGAAATCAGTGGATGGATAGAGGCAGGGAGGAAAGGTCAGAGCAGAGAGTATATGAAAGTCTGAGTAGGATTTAGATCAGACTGTGTTTGGTGAGGAATGCTGCACCACCTGGGGTGGGTGACCCCCAGAGGCAAGAATGAGTCAGACAGTTATGCAGTTTGCATAATTGTGGGGCAGAGAGTTCACACTGCAAGGTGGCAGGGATAGAGGTGAAGTCTCCGGTATTCTTGTTTGGGACATCCCATGGACAGAGGAGCCTGGTTTGCTGCAGTCCATAGGGTCGCAAACAGTCGGATACAACTGAATGCTGCTCTGCGCTTTCAAGTGCCTTGATCGCTCAGTGATTTGGGGGAAAAAACACAGTTTACATATTTTCCTTCCTTCCTTTATTCCTCCTTCTTTCTCTCTTTTTCTCTCTTTTTCCCCCCTCCCTCCTTCCTCCCCTCCTTTCTTTTTAAATTGAAGTACAGTGGACTTACAATATTATGTTAGTCTCAGGTGTAGAGCAAAGTGACTCAGTTATACATATACACATGTATTTCAGATTATTTTCCATTATAGGTTATTTCAAAATATTGAATATTGTTCCCCATGTTTTACAGTAAATCCTTGTAGTTTATTTTATGTCTTGATGTGTCTGTTAATCTCATACTCCTAATTTATCCCCTCTCCCTTTCTCCTTTGTTAACCGTAACTTTATTTTCTATATCTGTGGATATGTTTTTGTTTTGTAAATAAGTTCATTTGTATTATTTTTAAGATTCCACATATAAGTGATAGCATATAATATTTGTCTTTCTCTGTCTGACTTCACACAGCCTGATAATCTCTCGGTCCATCCATGTTGCTGAAAATGGCAATATTAATTTTTAAGGCTTAAAAAATTGTGTATGTGTATGTACATATATATATACATACACACAGATATATATATCACACCTTGTTTATCCGTTCATCTATTGATGGACACTTAAGTTGCTTCCATGTCTTAGTAATTCCAAACAGTGCTACTGTGAACACTGGGGTGCAGGTTTTTTTTTCAAATTTGAGTTTTCAGCTTTCCTAGGTATGTGCTCACATATTGGATTGCTGGGTTATATGGTAATTCAATTTTTAGTTTTTTAAGGAACCTTCATACTGTTTTACATAGTGGCTGCACCAGTTGACATTCCCACCAATCACTTCAGTTCAGTCACTCAGTCATGTCCGACTCTTTGTGACCCCATGAATCGCAGCATGCCAGGCCTCCCTGTCCATCACCGACTCGTGGAGTTGACTCAAACTCATGTCCATCGAGTTGGTGATGCCATCCAGCCATCTCATCCTCTGTCGTCCCCTTCTCCTCCTGCCCCCAATCCCTCCCAGCATCAGGGTCTTTTCCAATAAGTCAGTTCTTCGCATCAGGTGGCCAAAGTATTGGAGTTTCAGCTTCAGCATCAGTCCTTCCAATGAACACCCAGGACAGATCTCCTTTAGCCTGGACTGGTTGGATCTCCTTGCAGTCCAAGGGACTTTCAAGAGTCTTCTCCAACAACAGTTCAAAAGCATCCATTTTCCGGTGCTCAGCTTTCTTCACAGTCCAACTCTCACATCCATACATGACCACTGGAAAAACCATAGCCGTGACTAGACGGACTTTTGTTGGCAAAGTAATGTCTCTGTTTTTTAATATGTTCTCTAGGTTGATCATAACTTTCCTTCCAAGGAGTAAGCATCTTTTAATTTCTTGGCTGCAGTCACCATCTGCAGTGATTTTGGAGCCCAAAAAAATAAAGTCTGACACTGTTTCCACTGTCTCCCCATCTATTTCCCATGAAATGATGGGAACAGATGCCATGATCTTAGTTTTCTGAATGTTGAGCTTTAAGCCAACTTTTTCACTCTCCTCTTTCACTTTCATCAAGAGGCTTTTTAGTTCCTCTTCACTTTTCTGCCATAAGGGTGGTGTCATCTGCATGTCTGAGGTTATTGATATTTCTCCTGGCAATCTTGATTCCAGCTTGTGCTTCTTCCAGCCCAGCATTTCCCATGATGTGCTCTGCATATAAGTTGAATAAACAGGGTGACAATATACAGCCTTAACGTATTCCTTTTCCTATTTGGAACCAGTCTTGTTCCATGTCCAGTTCTAACTGTTGCTTCCTGACCTGCATATAGGTTTCTCAAGAGGCAGGTCAGGTGGTCTGGTATTCCCAACTCTTTCATAATTTTTCACAGTTTATTGTGATCCAGGCAGTCAAAGGCTTCGGCATAGTCAATGAAGCAGAAATAGATGTTTTTCTGGAACTCTTGCTTTTTCGATGATCCAGTGGATGTTGGCCATTTGATCTCTGGTTCCTCTGCATATTCTGAAACCAGCTAGAACATCTGGAAGTTCATTGCTGAAGCCTGGCTTGTAGAATTTTGAGCATTACTTTACTAGCATGTGAGATGAGTGCAGTTGTGGGGTAGTTTGAGCATTCTTTGGGATTGGAATGAAAACTGACCTTTTCCAGTCCTGTGGCCACTGCTGAGTTTTCCAAATTTGCTAGCATATTGAGTGCAGCACTTTCACAGCATCATCTTTCAGGATTTGAAATAGCTCAACTGGAATTCCATCACCTCCACTAGCTTTGTTCATAGTGATGCTTTCTAAGGCCCACTTGACTTCACATTCCAGGATGTCTGGCTGTAGGTGAGTGATCACACCATTGTGATTATCTAGGTCATCAAGATCTTTTTTGTACAGTTCTTCTGTGTATTCTTGCCACCTCTTCTTAATATCTTCCGCTTCTGTTAGGTCCATACCATTTCTGTCCTTTATCGAACCCAACTTTGCGTGAAATATTCCCTTGGTATCTCTAATTTTCTTGAGGAGATCTCTAGTCTCTCCCACTCTGTTGTTTTCCTCTATTTCTTTGCATTGATCACTGAGGAAGCCTTTTTTTTTTTTTTAATCTCTCCTTGCTATTCTTTGGAACTCTGCATTCAAATGGGAATATCTTTCCTTTTCTCCTTTGTTTTTCTCTGCTCTTCTTTTCACAGCTATTTGTAAGGCCTCCTCAGACAACCATTTTGCTATTCCCACCAATAGTGCAGGAGTATTCCCTTTACTTTGGCCACCTGATGCGAAGAACTGACTCATTGGAAAAGACCCTGCTGCTGGGAAAGATTGAAGGCAGGAGGAGAAGAGGATGACAGAGGATGAGATGGTTGGATGGCATCACCGACTCGATAGACAAGAGTTTGAGTAAGCTCCGGGAGTTAGTAATGGATAGGGAAGCCTGGCGTGCTGCAGTCCATGGGGACGAAAAGAGTTGAACACATCTGAGCAACTAAGCTGAACTGACAAACTGATTCCCTTTTTTCTTATTATTTATAGATTTTTTGATGATGGTCATTCTGAGCAGTGTGAGGTGATATTTCATTGTGGTTCTGATTTGCATTTCTCTAATAATTAGCAATGTTGAGTACCTTTTCATGGAGCATATTTTATTTATGAGTTCAGAAAGCAAATAAACAAATTAAAAACATCAACAACAAAAAAGGAAATCACTATACCCAGTTCAGAAGAAAGTTATTCAGACACTAAGGAGGAGAATTCACTTCAATTCTCTAAGTATTTTGCCTGGCTACTATGGGTCAGATACTATTCCAAGTACAGGGGTATAGCCACAGACAAAATGAATCTATTCTCCTGGAGCTTGTGCTCTATCAGGATCAGATAGATTCCTCTCTCACAGACACACACATATTAGGAAGCCATGAGTGTCTGAAGAAATTAAAGCCATTTTAAGGGTATACTAGAGCACCACTGTGAGAAGAAGGTGACTTGTATATGTGGTGGTGACTTGTATATGGAGATATATAAATATGTATACACACACACACACACGCACACGCACACACACATATGACTTGTTTATCAGGCCACCTCTCTGATATGCTGGCATTCAAGCAGAAACCAAAAAGAAGAGAGCAAGTTATTTGGATAACTCGTCTATTCTAGACAGTGGATACAACAAGTGCAAAGGCCCTGAGGCAGGAGCATGCTTGTGTGTTCAAGGAACAGGTAGGAGGCTGGTGGGGCGGAAGCAAAATGAGCCAGGGCTGTGTGGCGGGAGAAAGGCAGAGAAGTAGCGGGGTGGTGGTTGGGGGGTGGGGAGGGGTTGATCCTCATGGACCATGAGAAAGCACGCTTGAGGAAAATAGCCCAGGCGATGTACCAGGGTGACCCTATCTGCATTTTGGTGATCCCCATCATTGTGTGAGGTCTTCCTCAGAATGTCCTACTTCTTTTGCTCTTTTATATCATCAGCGAATCTCAAACCATCAGGCAGGAAGCTGACTTGAGCTTAAGCTGTCCCCGGGCCTCTCCTTGTCTTTGACAACAGGAGATGGGAGCTGATTTTCTGCAGGAGGTTTCCTCAGGAGTTACGCTCTGAGAGCCTGTTTAGGCAGTGTCAGCAGTCTCCAGCTGGCTGGGGTCCCGTATCTGGCCCACTGCACACTTCACTGTTTGCTCAGCCATAACTGATGGCAGCAACTTCACTCTGCATCAGGGCACGACCACAGCTGCACTGGACATTACTTTCAACAGACCTTTGAGTTTCTCTCCACCTCCCTCCCTCTTTTTTAACATATTTATTTTTATTTGGCTGTGCTG